AATTCCGTTCAGTCAAAAATTAATAAAAAATAATCAAATATTTGGCCAATTAACAAACGCACGTGCAGCAGCTACAACAGCATGTATGCGTGTGCCCACATACATTCAAACTTCTTCCAGAAACATTCGTTGAATCACATCAGCTGTTAGTTTCGTTTAGTTTTGGTAGATGGCGCTGCAGCAGTGAATCTATTTGAGTATTGCCACCGCAGCTCCCGAAAGTGAGGTGGCGTAGTGAGTAGCTACGTGACGCTCGATCGAGGAGTCGCGGGCTCGAATCCCGAGCAGTGCTAGTTATATTAATTTTTTCAATTGTTTCAAAATATTTTTATATTTTATTAAATGAGTTTTGTACTTAAGTACATCGAAATTGAAATTTTAGCCATACTAAATGGGCATTTTTATTAGTTGGGTGCAGGGTACTATCTAGTCGAGCACTCTCGACTAGAGTTTTCTTACTTGTTATTAATAGTAATACTGAATATGCACTCGCATGAATGATTGTTTTAAATGATAGCATCAAGCCTACTAAGAAAATTCTAAATGACATTGCAAAGACAGCTCCGAAATTAAAGAACTTTTAGGGATAACGCATTTTTCAGTATTTTAAGATATATTCTGCTATTCGGGGCGGAGACAAATCTAAACAAGTACGTACATGATTTGCGTAGGCGACAATCAGACTGCTCTTTACACCTGAGAATTAGTCGTTTATGAAGGAATATTTCAATATTAAAACAATAATAAGCTAAAATATTAATCTATGAACAAATATTAATCTATGATATATTATTTTCTGTGGGAATATATGTATGTATACCTTGTAGGTATTACTACCCTATCAATATTCCAAAAATAGTTTTTGTGTCACATTAAGGGCGCGGTACATACACAAATATCCTGTAACTCCACCGTTTCTGAGCGTAAGTCACAAAACTTTGGCGTTATGTGATCCGATATCTCAGAAGCCCTCCGTATACAAACATATGTGCATATGTATGTATGCATGTTGTGTTGTATGGAGTCCCAGCTTTTGATATCTGAAACTTTGCCCAACAATCGCACAATCAACACGATCGTTAGTCACATTGTTGTTGTTGTTGTTGTTGTTGTTGTCACCCCATCACTTGGAAGTCAAACTATTTTCCTTTAATTTAATAAGATAATTGCTCCCGTACACAGATGCAGGGGCAAAAGCAAGAGCAAAAAAGCAAAATCAAAAGCAACAACAAAGACGACAGGGCTGGAGCAATGAACGTTGCGGTCAACTTGTCGCTGTCTGCAGCAGTGTTGCAATTGTTGTTGTCGTCGCGACAACAGACATATAAAAATAATACCAAATGCCCGGGCGCGAGAAATGTAAGTCAAGCATTACAGCCGCACAAAAGAAAAAATGCAACAACAGCAACAACTGAAGGGCGAGACGAAACACAAGTCCAACTTTGGATACCCTTCACGATGAAAGAAAAATGTTTGCAGAATTTCCAAAAACAACAACAATATGAGCAAATTATTCAAACGGTTTACTTAAGAGATAAGAAAAAATTGACCTTTACTAATTGGTATGTGTTTTCTTTAGTAGTATTGATAATATAGTGTGTTAAACATTTCACACTGCAAAAAAAATCATGCTCTTCAAATTATTAGTGGTTGGGGCTTGTAGTAAGAAGCTTCTAATTAACTCTGCCGATCTCCCTCTTCTTCTTTTGCTCGTAATGGCACGCCAAGTATTCACCTCCTCAGCCATCGATATGGTTAACTATCGATAGATGTGTATCTATCGATGGTTAATCATAGTGCTAGTCCCTCAACACTGTTAAAAGACACAGTAGGTTGCGCAAAGAGCAGTCCCGTTACTTTTAATGTTAACTAACAGCACTCTTGTGACGTCATATTATCAGATTTTCCTATGTTGTCCAGGCTGAAGCTTGGCAGGCACTTCAGCACAGATCGGCTAAGTGGTCGAAAACAACCAAAATGAAGTATATATAAGGAAATTTCAATAGCTTAAAATTTCAATAACTTAAAAATGGCCAATCATTAA